AGCGCGACCCGGGACGTCGCCTTCGTCCCCGACGCGCCGGCCCGACCGCGCGAGCGGGGCCTCTTCATCGTCGTCGAGGGACTCGACCGGGCCGGCAAGAGCACGCAGGTGGCCAGGCTGGCGGACAAGCTCGGCGCAAAGGAGATCAAGTTCCCCGACCGCACCACCGCCATCGGCCAGATGATCAACTCGTACCTGGCCCAGACCAGCAACCTCGACGACAAGGCCATCCACCTGCTCTTCTCGGCCAACCGGTGGGAGTGCGTTCAGTCGATCCTGACCACGCTCGCAGAGGGCCAGAGCATCGTCTGCGACCGGTACGCCTTTTCGGGCATCGCCTACTCGTGCGCAAAGGGCCTCAGCTTCGACTGGTGCAAGGCGCCCGACGTCGGCCTACCCCTGCCGGACCTCACCGTCTTCCTCGACCTGGACGCAGAGACCGCGGCCGCACGGGGCGGCTACGGCGAGGAGCGCTACGAGAAGAGGGAGTTTCAGGCCAAGGTGCGCGAGGCCTTCAAGCTGGTGTCGTCCGAGGTCAAGGACCACGGCGGCAAGTGGGCGACGGTCAACGCGGCGGGCTCCCTCGACGACGTCACGCGCGAGATCCACAAGGTGGTGGTGCAGTCGACGGCAACCATCGACCTGCGCGTCGGAGAGGTGGGCCGGCTGTTCATCGACAGCAGGGCCACCGCCGCGCCGCCTCCCCCTGCCGCGCGCGAGGAGCCGGTCGACTGGCGCAAGCGGCAGAGCATCGACGGGCTCGCATCGCTCGGGAACGGCTCGCTCTTGCGCCACTTCCGGTCCGGATCCAACAACGCCAGCGGGACGATGCCGCAGCCGGCGGAGACCAAGGCGACGAGCCCGAGCTACGCCGACCAGCTCGCAGCGATGCGATCCGCGGCGGCCGGCACGTTTACCGGGCTCTTTGGCTCGCAGGCGGATGCGGACAGGTCGTCGGGCCTTGGGCTTGAGCCGAACCCAACGACATCGGCCGTCGCCGCCGCAGCCGCTGCCAAGGGCCAGGGTGTCGACTCGGACCGGGTGCTGGCCAGCTACAACGCCGCGCATCCCGGTCGCAGGATGACGCTCGTCGAGATGATCGACCAGATCGAGGCTGGACGAAGCCCCGATTCTGCGCCCATCAACCTGCCGCCACCTTCGCAGCCCTGGGTTGCCGCCGAACGGCCGCCACCGCGCTCGAGGACGAGCTCGCACAGCGGTGTCGCCGCAACGCAGCCCGCCAGCGGACCGGCGCCCGCCATCGAGGCCGCCGTCCTGGCCAACGCAGCAAACGGCGAGAGATTCCCTTCCACGTTCGCCCTGGGCAACCGCTCTCGACGGAGCCTCAACGTCTCGGACATCGCGCAACCCGCTGCCACCACCGCCAACAACGACAAGAACCGCCGGCGGACGGGCAGCGAATCGTCCGACGACGATGCGGAAGGCGAAGACTCGGACAGCGCACCCGTCGCGAAGCGTGCTGCCCCGCCGCAATCCGCGGCGCCTTCACGTGCGGTGCCGCTGGTCTCGCCCAGCCCACAGCGGGCCACGAGCATCTCGCAAAAGACATCGACCACCCTCGAGTCGGCGATCAGCACGCCTGCGACCGAGGAAGACGACGACTCTCCGCTCGGTCTTGCCGCCGGCCATGGCAAGAGGATCAATGTCGCCGCCCCGTCTGCCGCGGCCTCTATCGAGCCGTCAAAGGTGACCAGCACCTCCTCGCGAGGTCCTGCCGCTGGCCAGCAGGGACTCGCTCGGCCTGCGCTGGATGCACGCAAGAGCTCAGCGTCGCCAGCGTCGCGACCGGCATCACGACCGCAGTCGACGTCGCCTGCGCCACCGCCGCCGTCGTCGTCGGGCATGCCGAGCTCTCCTCACCTCTACCAGCCCATGCCCGGCAGCGAGGCTCACCAGCTCAGCTCGCAGCAGCTGGCCATGCTGGCCGCCCAGCAGCAACAGCAGCAGCAGATGCAGCAGATGGAGATGCAGCAGCAGTACATGCAGCGCTACATGGCCGCCGCCGCGTCGTCGATGCACCAGGACCCCGTGGTGATGCAGCGGATGCACGCACAGGCCCAGGCCCAGGCGCATTACCAGTACCAGTACCAGCTGATGCTGATGCAGCAGCAGCAGCACCACTTTTTCGCCCACGGCGCCGGGAGCAGCATCTACGGCGGCAGCGAGATTGGCACCGGGCCGCGGCAGCAGCCGTTGGCGGCGTTCATGCAGCCAGGCGTCGGGATGCCCCACTCGTCGAGCATGTCCGAGTACGGCGGCGGTGGCGGTGGCGGAGGCGGGAGGAGGAGCGGGCAGCTGCACTCGCGGACTCGGAGCAGCAGCAGCGGGCTCAACGTCCTGCACGAAGGCGGGGCAGCGCAGCCCTCGGCGGTGGCGGGTCGCGGTGCATCGCCTTCGTCGTCGCCGCAGCCGCCGATGCTATCGATGATGATGGCCGCACCGCCGCCGCAGGCATCGTCTTCGTCGGCGGCTGCTGCTGCTCCGTCCTCGCCGTCGCACGCGCAGCACAGCTTCCTGATGGCCGCACCGCCCCCCTTTTTCCCCTACGGCTTCTCCCGACCGGGCCCGTCGGGTGCCCAGAGCGAGGTTGGCACCTCGACGGCGCCTAGATCCCGTCGTTCAGCTCGATCCTCGACTGCTGCTGCTGCTGCTCCAGGTGCCGTGGGTGCGGGCGCTATGGGTCCACCACCGGTCCCCAACGGCGGATCGAGGCTGTCAAATGGGCGGGTCGACCACTAGAGCGGCAGCGGCAGCGGCCGCGCCTGCACCTTCCCGGATCCTGTCCTTCGTCGGTCCCTTTTTGTTGAACAGTGCCTACCACCGCCACAGTCCCTTCTCGACCGGTCAACACGAGGAATGCCAACTTGCCCCCTGCCTGCCTGCCTGATCCTCCCGATTCTCCGTTGCCCGTCTGCCTTGCCGTGCCATGCCGCTACGCCTGCACGCCGCAAAGACGTCTGCTCGCAGCGGTGAAAACGCCCGTACAGACAACAGTCTAGGGGGAGAAGGATGGGGACGAGGGAGGAGCTCGGTGGCCACAGGCAGGCGTCAGACTCGTCGGCCAGCCTCAGGGTCCAGCTCCGACTGCCGACTCCCGACAAGGGGGAGGTGAGGGTGACGACGCCCGGCCTCCTCGTCGTCCTCCTCCACCTGCCACCAAGCTCCAGCTCCAGCCCAAGCTTCTGCCCTGCCTTGCTCTCGCATTCACCATACGACCCCCCGGCCTGTTTGCACAAGATCTGACAGAGACCGTCGCCACTAATTTGGCCGCACAGCACGACGTTTCGACACTGTCTCGACCGCGACGCCGCATCCCGCCGCCATGAACTGGGACCCGCTTTCGAGGGAGGCCGCTCCGCCGCGATACCAGGTCGAGTCAGGCTCCGAAGACGAAGACGACCACGCGGACCTCACGTCGTCCCTCGAACAGAGAGAGCAGCACACGATCACCATCGAGCTCGACGGTGCGGCGGCCAGCGCGACGTCTGCGGGTCGCGAGCTCGTCGTCCTCGTGGCAGGCGCAGGCAAGGCCTGGCTGACCTCCCGAGGTGCGCCAGCAGAAGGCGGTCGCCTTCGCTACGGCCAGGACCAGGTGAGTGCCTCGTGTCGCCCTTCCCTCTTGCAAACTCGCACCGGAGATGGGGCTGACTTGTCCCCCCCTCTTGCGCGTCCACGCTCGTGCCCCGTGCCGTTGCAGCAAGCAAGCGTACACGTCCCCGCCGATGCCTCGCAGCCTGCTGAGCTATTCCTGATGCCGTCGGCGGCGCTGCCACAGACAAGACTGGCACAGGTCGCCGGCTTGGTCCTCGACAGGCTCGCGCCAAAGAGGTGAGCATCGTTCGCCCTGTACTGCTGCCAGCTCGTCGGTCGGCGCTTCCCGCTCACTCGCCTCCCGTCCTCCTCCTCTGCGCCTGCTCCTTACTCCCCTCTCGCCAGCCTCGTCGTCGTCGACTCGTACAGCCCCGCCGCGTACGGCTACCATCGGTCGCCGCAGCAGAACCAAGGCGACCGCGTCCGCTTCCTGCACTCGGGCGACTTTGAGGCGCAACGCATCGCAGCGGATTGGGAGCCACTCGAGGCACCCGATGCCGTGATCGGCGCGTCGGCCGCCCTCGTCTCTGCCGTGAGTGCACCTCGTGCTTCAATCTGGTCTGCGCGACGTGTCGCTGTCTGCCCGCTGACCATCTACCCACCCACCTCGTGCCGCTCTTCTGTGCGTCTGCAGGCTGCGCTGCGCGGGGTACCGGTCCTGCTAGTCCAGGTACCAGACAAGGGGCCGCAGAGCCACGCGCAACTCTACGGATCCGGCCAGGGCGCGCGGTACACCGAGGCGGCGCAGCTCGAGGGGTCGAGCCTCGAGGCCATCGATGCCGTCGTTGGGCCAGGCAGGTCGGCCAAGCGGGTCGCGGCTGGCGCTGCCGGTGCCGGCCATGCGCCTTCCCTGCTCGACTTTGTCGCTCGGCGGCGCCCCGCACTGCCTCGCGGTAGCCTCGGCGACGGCGGCATGTACATGTAGGTATGTCCGGTCGAGAGACGGGTTGGAATGGTGTGGACGAGCAGGACCGAGGTCGAAGACTAGAAGCGAGCTTGTAGAGATGGCGAAAAGGCCCCTGAAAATACAGTCGAAATGGGGGCTCAGCCAGCATCGTTCCCCCACGCCGGTCGACCAGGTCTTTCGCACGAGCCACGAGCTCAGAACTCGCGACGAGCGCCGTAGTCATCACTTGGCTCTGCCGGTGGCCCCCTCTTCAGGCCGGCAGCATCGACGACGGCCAGCCGGCATGCGCTGTCAGCTTCTGTCGAACGTAAGTAGGTCAGTATCGCATGGCCGCTCAAGATGTGACAGGGGCGAGGATGGGGGGTCGACCCTCGTTTCGGCTCGTGCCGGTCTCGCTCCACAGCCTCGTCGGCATACCAGAGGAGCGAGACCATGCCGTGCCATGCCGTTGTGCGCGGGCCTTGTGGTCGGCATTGATCCAGATTGGGGAGACCAGCGTGAGAAAGGCATGGCGTGGCCTGGCGTGGCCTGGCTTGCGCTGCATCGGCATCGACCCGATCAAGGCTGAGGACGGGCGGAACCGAATCGGGCGGAGGGGAACGGTGCACCAGAGATCCGGGCGGAGCCGACATCAAGGCACCGACGTAGCTCCCTCTGTCTCGCAAGACGCCGCGATCAGCTCTGCCCTGCGCTGCGGAGGGGAGAGCTGACGGTCGCTTTGAAATTCACCGAAGCAGAAGCTCGCGTGGCTTGCCAGAGGCCGACGTACTGTACGCTTCCACGGCCCAACCTCGACGGCGCGATTTCTGTTCGAGTTTCAACGCCATCGAATTTCCAGCCTGGCGGCAATCACGCGCCGGGCTGAAGAGGAGGCGGGGACGTCGCGGCGGCGGCGGCGGCGGCTGGACATGTGGGATGGACCTTTGTGCACCATCATCGCCGTCTCTGCCGCCGCCGCCGCCGGGGACGGGGACGGGCCCCCTCATTCAGAAGAGGGCGACGGAGCGCGGAGCGAGGTGAAGAGCGGGGAGAAGGATGAAAATAGCAGCATCGCCCGGTCATCGACCGTCGAGCCGGGGGTTTCGAGGGACCACCGATCGACGCCGGACCAACACCGAGACGGCCACCAGCTTGACGAATCTCTTGCTTCCCTTTCACGAAGTCGAGTCGAGCTCAGCGACGTAAGCAGTACTGTGTACGGTACGACCCGTCCGTTGTTCTGGACGTATGTGGACCCCCGAACCTACGTTTTGTGGTTCGCTCGGCAAGAGCCACCAGGCAAAGGCCGAGGGGGACAAGCACAAAGCGCTACAGTACGCAACGGGGCGGGGCAGCGCAGGTCAGGCGAGCGCAGGCCGCAGGATCTTCCGTGACGATCAATGAGAAGCCCGGCCGGTGCACGGTGCGGGTCCTCGGATGCGGCTCTCGGTCGTCCTTTCTGGCTGACCTGGCAACCTCGGGAAATCGAGGAACGGGCGGGCGCCCTCGATGTCAGTACGCAGCTCGCTGTAGTCATCTGGCCAGGTGTGTATGTACGGGTAGCGGCAGCAGAGTAAGGAACCCAAACGAACGGTGATCGACGATGGTGCGGTCCGCTCCCGAGGTACCCTCGAAAGGCAACCTCTCGTAGGAGCAAGCTGGGAAGCCCGATTACGACTTCCCTACCATACGCCTTCCGCGGCGGCCGGCCCCTCGAAATCGTCGCGTGGGGATTGGGGAGGGCCCTCCTGGTGTTCGCCGGCGGCTGTTCGGCTGCGCCGAGTGGAAAGCACCGCCAACTCAGCATCGTCCACATCCTCCGAGCTCGCGTGCGCCGTACGAGTGGCCCCCCTTTCAACATCTTCCGTCGAGATCGCATTGCCCTCGAAGTTCCTCTCGCCAACGGACTCAGCTACGGTAGAAACTTACGCCCACGACCGCTCGTGGCACCACCTGGCTGGACCCGTAGCCCCGCTTCAGGAACTCGACCTGCCATCGCTCCGACGACGAGCCAGGATCGGTGTGAAAGAATTTTTCGAGGTAATCGTCGCGCGCTCGGACAACGCTCGCACGGCAGGCGAGCTGGTTGGCGGTGACCTACTTACTGGCAGCCCGCCGGTCGTTCGGGAGGTCCGACCGTTCGAGGGCCAATTCGCCGTCGTCTGGAGTCGGAGCGAGCTTCTGTGCGGCCCGGCCAGGTTAGCACGACCAAGCCAGGCGGCTCCGTTGCCTGGCCTCGCCCCCCCGAACGACCCACGGGCCAAGTGATGTCGATAGGAACGCCTTGGAAGGCCAAGGCTTGCATCTCATGTAGCGTGACATCCCGGAAGAACAAGCGTCTCTTCCACCGTGGAGTCGGGAAACGCAATGCAGCGAGCGCTGACACCGGCAAACTGTTGTCACGGGCACGCAGACAGGCAGGCAGGCAGGCAGGCAGGCAGGCAGGCAGACGCTGGGAGAGCTTTGGGGACCACGTTGAAAGACCGAGCCCTGTCCTGTCCTAGCTGTCCTGTCTCTGTCTCTGACGGGCAAGACAAGCAAAGCATTCGACAGAGTTGATCAGCGGTTGATCTCTTTGCTCGGCCGATCCGCCAGCCATGGTGCTCCAAGAGAGCGCTGACTGCCCTTCAACACCAAGAAATCACGACGAGGGCGTGTGAAACATGGCGCTGAAATGTGACTCTGCCCGCCCGCGACTCGATGGGGCAGGAGCGGGAATGAGATCGAGCGTCGACGCCGCTTCTTACCGCCACCACCACAACCCAACGCCGCTGCGCTGCCGGCTTGACCCGCCGCTCAGACCCACGCGAGCGAGGTCACGGCACAGCCGGTACAGTACAGTAGCCCAAACCATCTGATCGATGGGGTGGGTCCCCTCTTTTCCGGGGCCTCGGACGCACCTCGACGGCCAGCCTCGCCTCGCTCGCGCGACAGCCCGGCAAGTCGCCCGATGCTCTCATGCTGCTTGAAAGTTGCCAGGTCCCTCGTTTTGAGGGGACCGGGGCCTCCCCTGCGGTACTTGCCCCTACTGTACGCTACCGTCGATCGGTCTCCGGTGCGGCTCGGTGCGCCCGGCCTGGCTGGCTGGCTGGCTGGCTGGAAGAAAAAATCTTGAGAGCCGCCTGCTCGTTGCTTTGCCGCCGCCGATCCGCCCCCACGCGCCATCTTTGACAGGTGTTGCGCCCCGCCCCCGACCCGCCCGCCCGGCCGCGCGCGCACCCGCCCGACGTCGGACGGACGGTCCCACCGCCGTGTCCTCCCCACCGCCGTACAGGATGCAGGCTTGTGGGCGGCCTGGATGTACGGGAACACCAGCATCGCTGCAGCGGTCGTCTGCTGTAGGCCAAGTCGAGGGCTGCCGGCCCTATAAGAGCGCCGGTCGAGACGGTCCAGTACCGATCTCATCTCCCATCAACTCACATCCCTGCCAAGTCAACACACCTCTAGCACTCCCACTCTCTCCCTCTCTCTCTCTACGAGCCTACACACTCTCCCTCTCTCTCACACACACCTCACACCATCTCCAAGATGCAGTTCACCACGCTCGCCGTCACCCTCTTTGCCGCCGCCAGCGCCGTCGTTGCCGCTCCGCTCGAGCGCCGCGACGGTGGCCAGGCCACCTACTTCTACCAGGGCGGCAACCCGGGCGCGTGCGGCAACTACCACTCGGACGACGACCGCATCGTCGCCGTCAACTCGGCGCAGTACAACCAGGGCCTGTGCGGCAAGTCGATCTGGATCAACCACAACGGCAACACGGTCGAGGCCAAGGTCGCCGACGAGTGCCCCACGTGCGCATGGGGCGACCTCGACCTCTCGGTCGGCGCCTTCAAGGCCCTCGCCAACATGGACCAGGGTCAGGTCCCCATCTCCTGGAACATGTAAAGCGCCCTGCCATCGCCTCGCCTCGCTCAGTCAGACACGGGCTAGTTTTTCGCCCGCCGCGTCCCGACGCCCTCAAAAGCTCCTCGACCTCGAGCGGGCATCCCTTCCGACCCATACACACTCTCAACGACCAGAAAAACACCTCAGAAAACCCCTATCTACGAGGGCCAGCACCACCACCTCATCATCCACCGCTGGATCCCTCGCGGCTCCTCAACCAGCGTCCTTCCACACGCTCCCCGCGCTAGCAACCCCTCTTCGCTTCTCGCGGCTACGGGCGCGGTCCCACCAGCTCGACCGGGCGCCTTGATCGGGCCCTCTTGATGCTGCCGCCGCCGCTTGACCATCCGCACACGATCGCACCGCGCCCCAAGATGGACGCACGATCGACTTTGTCCCCACGCACCCGCTGCTCCGTCTACGGATTCTCTCGCTCTCGCACCCCCTGTATCATCCTTTTTTTGGCATTCTCCTCTCTCCTCTCCTCTCCTCTCCTCTGGTCCCTTCTGATACGACCACGACCATGAACGGCCCCCTGTATACTACGCTCATTTGCTGCCAGCACTCCACGCTCCTCCCGTACGGGGCTGAATGGAACGCGGGCTAGAACGCCTGGTTCTTCAACCCCCCTCTTTCGACCTCCTACCTCGTGTGTTGCTTCGTTGTCGTGCGTCCCTGTGTCCTCGTGTCGGACGGGGGGCAGGCCTCTAGCACTCGTCTCGTCCCACCATGCGGCGGATCGTGACCGTTCTTCCTTCGGTTCCGAGATCAGGTCTCGAGCCTTACCCTTCAACGATGTCAGCAGTACAACTGTGCGTCGGGCAACACGGCCGGGGAGTCTTTGAGCACGCGAGGCAAAGTCCTAGCTCTGCTGCAGGCTACCTACGTTGCGGCAGAGGCCGGACGGCCGCGGCGAGCAGGTGCCTACATTCGTGCGTGCACGAAGCGCGAGACCGGCGCGCGGGCAGGTAGGTAGGCGTCGAGATCTTTTTGACGATCTGCATGCCTTCGAGGAGCGGTCAGCCGCCGTTCCGTGCATCTCTAGAGTGGGCTACACGGGTCCAGGCAGGTGTAGGTGCGGTGCGGTGCGAACGTAGCTCGGGTACGGTACGGTGGCGAAGCGTGGGCAAGCAACGATATGTCCTGGTGTGGCGATGAGGCGGCATCGGGCTGCATCGACGTCGATCTGTACCCAACCGCAAGCTACCGTAGCGTTCGACGACGCCACCTACAGTCTCGGATCGGAGCGGGAGGCGCACGCACGCACGCACGCACGCACGTACGCCTTCGGTACATACGGTAGCAACTCGCAAGATGGCCTGCGTGATGTGGGCCTGTCACGATCACCGGTGCCGTCCTGGAGCCCGACCGCCGATCGTCGCGTGTCGCACCTTGTACATGTACCGTTTGCTACTGTAGCAAGATGCACACTTGCACTTGCAGTACAGTACATACAGTACGGAACGAAGCAGGATGCAGGGTGCTGTATGTCGTCCTTAAGTCCGTGGCCCCGTCCTCCTCGGAGCGGAAGCGGAAGCGGAAGGGGGGCGTGTACTGCACAGCAAGTGGTGCGGATTGATGCGTTCCGTACCAAGAGCGGGATGGGATCGACGATCCGCATCCAGACCCCCCCCTCCCCCCCCGCCGGCGGCTGCACCGTAGCGTACACACGTGCAGACGGCGTGCTTTCTGCCTTCCTTTGCGACGTTCTACCGGTATCGACCGGGGTTCGATCGAGGGCGTGCTCTCTTCGACCGCTCCATTGTCGTCCCGTAAACGAGTGGGGCGAGGATGGGCAGCAACTCAAGATGGCCGTGGAAGGAGACGGAGAAGTCGAGAGACGACGATACGCTACGGTACTGTACATATCGCGATGACCTCGTCGGGGTGCGAGTCGGGACAAAGGCAGACCTGGCAGGTCAGACAGACCAGGCGGTACCTAAGGCCGTAGACGCCGCGTGGCGTGGCGTGGCGTGGCATGGCATGGTATGGCATGGTATGGCTTAACTCCGATGCGAATGGTGCTGCTGCCTGCTGGTGGGCGTTGATGTCGATCCGGCTCGGCACCTTAGCTTCGAGGCTGATGCGCGCAGGTCCAGACCAGACCAGACCAGACCAGACCAGACCAGAGCAGACCAGACCAGACCAGACCAGAGCAGGACGATACATATGCCTGCAGAGGCCGGCCGGAGGGAAAGACAGCCCAGCCCGGCCCAGCCCGGCGAGGACAGGAACAGGAGGGCCGACTGGCGTGCTCTTGTCGCTGTGCGAGACGAGACCGGAGCGGGCGCAATCAAAGTCGGCCGTTTCATGCCCCCCCCCCCCCCCCTCGCCCCCATGCCGATGCCACTTACTTTCTATTCTGCTAAGCTTGTGGTGCGGCGACCGGGAGGGGGACCTCGAGTTGTGGAGAGTGGTGCCTCGCTGCTCTCACCCTCTTCTCTATTCCCCTCGACGGCGGCAATCACGGCGCGCAACCTGCTCTTGAAACAGAGTTTGAAAATGGAAACGAGCGAATGGTACGTACGTAAGAGGGGGACAGGACGATGGTGGATGCATGGCTAGCTACATATGTAGAAGACGGGGCCGGGCGGGCGGACTAGATGGTCCGATGCACGGCATAGAGGTGCTGCACGACGGCGCGCATGTCTGTGCATCCTAGCTTGCCGCCGCGCCGCGCCGCGCCGCGACGTGCCAGACTGACTGACTGACTTGACCATGGAAAGGTTCTGATGTCGCTCGTTTGGCTGTTGGTCGTCGTCGTTGTTGTCGTCGATGGACGTCGATGGCGACGGCGAGGGCGCAGACTTCGGTTCGGAATCGAGGCAGAGACGCGCACGACGGTCGATGCGTGGCGTGGCGTGGCGTGGCGTGGCCTGACAACCTGCTGGCTCGCCTCGCCTCGTCTACCGCAGGCACTACGGTACTTTGTTCTCGCTCGTGGCCGAAGCCAAGGCGCGGTACACATGCGAGAGTTTTGGACGACAATGGGACGGCCGGGCGGGCGAGCGAGGCTGGGCTAGGCTGGGCTAGGCTGGGCTAGGGTTGCCTCGAGAGCGGTGGACGGCCAGCAGGCGTGTCGGTTGAGGCTACACTGACTGTAGGATGGTGTCGTGGCATGGCGGCGGCGGCGAGAGGCGGTTGGACGAGATGTGTCACCGCAGTGCCCGGCAGGCAGGCAGGCAGGCAGGCAGGCAGGCAGGCAGGCAGGCAGGCAGGCAGGCACGGCGCACGCGAGCAGGGCGGGCAGCTCGACTACCGGTAGCTAGGGCTGGAAGAGGAATCGGCGCGGCGCGGCGAATGGTGGGCAACTTAGAGATCAGAGTAGACGACGCTGCAAACGTCGGTGGGCGTGCAGCATGTCGGTGAGTCGGAGAGCGAGAGGCCAAGCTGCTGTGCGCGAGCGAGAGTCACAGAGGCGCGGGTCGACGTGTCAGGCCTGGCCTGGCCTGCCTGAGGGCTGAGCGGTCTGCCTACCGCCCACCGGTACCTCTAGGCATGGCAGGCGTGGCGAGGGGCGGCGAGCATGTGGCCGGATATTTTTCCTCGCAGCCGGCGAGGCGGGCGAATCGCCAAAGGCCGCGGCCGCGGCCGAGGCAGGCAGCTTGCCCGGGTCTCGAACCCGACGTACGTGCAACGAGGGTTTGGGTTTGGACGGCGGCGGCGACGAGGGCGCTGGCGGTTGATGATGGCTGCCTGCTCGTCAGGCCGTGGCGAGGATTTGAGATTTGCAAGCGCACGCCACGGGCAGTGCTGTAGGTGGCGGCGAGGCAAGGGGGAGAGGAGAGGTTTGTTTGGTTGTCGGCCTCTCGAGGGGGGTTCGTGCCTGTCGGTATGCCCGCTCTGGATCTGTTTGTGGCGGGCGGATGGACGAGCGGCAGGGCAGGGCAAGGCGGCAGGCAGGCCATGCCATGCCGCCCATGCCATCGGCGACTGAAAGAGCTGCCTCGTTTCGAACGGAGCGGGTGACGGGCGTGTTGAGACGTGCTTCGCTCGTGGTTGGCTCAGTAGCGGATGCAGAGGAGCAGTGCACCCGCGCCGCCTCGACCCACGCAGGCGCCGGCAGGCAGGCCCATCGAGACCAGAAGGCTTCGCTTTGGCTGCTTGGCTGCTTGGCTGCTTGGCTGCTTGGCTGCTTGGCTGCTTGGCCGCCCTCGCCGTCGCCCTGGCCATGGCCCCGGCCCTGGCCCTACCTGGCCTTTGGGCTTTTGGGCTGGTGGCAGACGCCGGCCTCTGCGGGGCCTCCCCGTGCCGGGCTAGTGCACATACATGACCACAGGTGAGGCCACGACATCGGTCCAGCTAAGTGTCGAGTGGCATCCCTCGCTCGACGTCGTCTGCCTCGCCTCGGGCCCTACACACATCTCACCGCCTGCAATTGGTCCGGATCCACGGAGCGCTTGGATGCCGGTGGTGCCTGCCTGCCTGCCTGCCTGCCTGCCTGCAATCGCCCCTCGCCATCCACCAACACTACCTACCACCTCCAGCAGGAGCACCACCACCAACCCATGCCCACGCCCCCGCCCTCACCCGCCCGCTGCACAAGCCCGCCGCCACCTGCGCCGCCCTGCCGCTCCTAGGCACGCCCAACAATCAGCAGCCGCCTTTTGTCTCGCCCTCCGCTGCCGCACAGCCCATTGTCTGGACCCCTCCTCCTCCTCCTCCTCCTCCTCCTCGTCGTCGTCCTCGTTCTTCCTCCCCATCCCCTCCTCTCCAACGCCAATTGTCCTGGCCATCCCTTCGCTTCACCCCTCCGCTCCCCCCTCCTTTGTCCTGCTCCATCTCCAACGGCCAAAGCGCACTTAGGCGGCCCCCCCATCGACAACCTCCCCGGACCACCTCGCCTCGATCCCTTCAAAGCCTGCCACCTGCCACACCATCGTCCGACCGCCCATCGCCCTCCATTGTTCCCCTCCCATCCGTCTCAGGAACCCTCTCCCTCACTCTCATCCTCGCCCTCTCCCTGCCTCTCCGTCGACACCATACATCCATCTGGCCGACCACCTCGTCGTACCCACGCTCGCTCGCGCGCTCGCTCCTTGCCCCGCCCCTCGTCGGCCTCATTCCTTTCGACCACGACCACGACCACCATCACCACCACTCCCGCCATCCCCCTCTCTCGTCACGGCAGCCACCCGTTCGCGTCCGCTCGACGACCTCGAGCACACCGGCACCCACCTTGCTCTGATCCCCCATTCCCACCCGCCAAGCACTTCTCGGCCCACGCAAACGACGACGACGACGACGACGACGACGGCCGGGGCTGCTGCTCGCTAGCTCAGCTTCTGGCTCGCACCTCTGTCCCAACCGCACCCCTTCTCTCGTCCTTTGCCGCCCCGCCCCGCGCCGCGCCGCACGCCGCACGCCGCCCGCCATGCCCCACCTGCCGCGCGTACCCGCCTTCCCCATCGTGGGCGAAAACTCGCTCATCACCAGCGGCGGCTCCTCGCTCCGCATCCCCGCAAAGGAAAAGTCGCACCCCTTTATCGGCAAACTCGCCCCAGAGATCCAGCTCAAGGACCACAAGGGCCGCACCGTCTCCCTCCACGCCACCATCGCCCTCGGGCGGCCCATTGTCCTCTACTTTTTCCCCCTCGCCGGCTCCCCGCACTGCACAAAGGAGTCGTGCTCCTTCCGCGACGCCCTCGGCGTATCGCCCATCTTCAACGACCTCAACGTCATCGTCATCGGCATCAGCCAGGACCGTGCAGACCGCCAGCGCAAGTTTGTCGACGAGCACCAGCTCAACTTCTGCGTCCTCCACGACGAGGGCAGGGAGGTCATGAACGCCTGGGGCGTCGGCAGGACCATGCTCGGCCTCGTCGACGCCCGCTGCACCTTTGTCATCGACCACCTCGGCACCGTGCGCGCCATGGCCGAGGGCGTGTGGGACTATGCCGGTCACCTCCGCTTCGCAGAGAGCTGGCTCGTACGCATCGAAGACGACCTCGCCGGCCAGGAGCGCTTCTACCTGCCCCTGCCCCAGGACGCCTCGGGCATCGAGCCCGCAGGCCTCGAGGGCGAGGCCCCCGTCCGCGTCATCTACGTCGACGGCGGCAACTCCAACGCAGCCGGCGTCGGCGTCGCACCGCGCTACGGCGCCGCACCCCTCCTCGCCAAACGCCAGCACCAGCACCAGAGTCAGCATGCCGCCAACAGCAACAACAACAACAACAATAACAACATCAACGGCGACGACCGCGACCGCGACGGCAGCGGCGACTCGCCCCGGACGTCGGCGCTCAAGAGCTCCAAGTCGAAAAAGAGCCTGCGCGAGTGGTTCTCGCCAAAGACGAGCAACGGCGCCGCCACGTTTGACGAGCCGCTGCACGTCGAGCGCAGCCTGAGCGACATGCCGGCGCCGCCGCCGCCGCCCATGCCCTCGCTGCGCCACCTCTCGCACCACTCGGCCATGGAGCGCAGCATGAGCGCGCGCGAGTTTTCGGCGGGCGAGTCGTCGACGTCGTCGGACCTCTACGGGCCCTCGACGGCCGAGACGAGCGTCGGCACCCACCACAGCCGCAACGGCAGCGAGAGCCTGGCCCATCAGCAGCAGCAGTCGATGGCCAACTACATCCTCTCCAAGCGCGAGAACCGCTTCCAGAACGGCATCAGCGGCACCGGCAGCGGCATGGCGGGCATCGGCGCTGGCGCCTACGTACGACCGCAACGCAATAGCGGCACGTCCAACGATACGACTTCCGACAGCGGCTCGGCCGGCATCGGGCGGCGTTCGCCCGCCGACCGTCCGCGCAGCCGCCAGTCACGCGGGCCCGACGGCGTGCCCTACGACGCCTACGAGGAGAGCACCCTGTCGCTGAGCCCCATCACGGCCAACGGCTCGCACGGCCTCTCGCCGCCGCCGCCCATGTCGGCCAAGGCTCCCGCGTTCCCCACGACGCTCGACATGCCCTACTACCGCCCGCGCACCGCCGACGAGATGCGCTCGCGCCGGTCGGGCTTCTACGACTGGACGCCTGCGGCCAGCAGCAGCAATCGT